TTATGATCGCAATAGCCACGAGGACTGCGGAGAAGAACAAGCGAGCTGTACCTAGGCCCAGAGGCCTCCATAGCAATCTCTCAGAGTGGCACCGCCTATTTGCATAATTCTCGTTCCCGGTTGCTTTTTAGCGTGAGCTTTGCGTGGTACAGACACACCACACGAAGCAAGCCTCGGGCGCAACATGTAATACTGAACATTAGTTTTGATCAATATACACAACTTTCTATGATATTACGTAACTTTTATTGGATTTATAAGGAAAAATTGCTCAGTACAAATTATGTGAACAGTTAGCTAAAAATGTTATCCATTAAAGAAAAAAAGTTTATAGGATACTCAAATTTCGAACATGATACTAAATTTCGATACTAAAATATCATATCAATCATTAATGGTAATATATCGATGCTGAATACGGATATGATTTCTTCACACTCTTCGAGCACTGAACAGATATTATATCTGAACCTAAACACAGTTTGGCGAGATGGCGTTGGAATCACTAGTACACTCAGGAACTAGTACTCCATGAATGGCTAGAGCAATTTCACAAGATGTCAGACAGCAAGATGTTACTTTCACAGATGTCAGGTTATTGCTGGAAATGCAGATTTTTTTTTTTGCTTCGAAGGCGTCCGTTGAACACCTCTATAGGGAACATTTCATCAGCAAGTATAACAGATATTTTCTACCCAAAAGATATCTAGATGACTGTATATTAGGCAACCAAATAAGAACATAATGCCATCATATACAAGTGTACCTATATATTATACGCACAGGTGGCATTATACACACAAACACAATTTCTTCACAAATGCGAAATTGAAGTTCAATTGGAAAATGTTGTTATAAATTTGTTATAAGCGACAGAAGTGGTTGAGAACCGAAAAATTCACGAACAAAGATCAAATTTTAGTGAGCCAGCATGAAATACGTAAAAATAGCGCAATATATTATACAAGGAAAAACATGCAGTACGGCACATGTAAAATGATCGAATGATGTTCCAAGGCACTCAAATAAAACTCTTAGTTTTCAGTTGAGGTTTGGAGGCGCGAAAAGCAATGTTTTGAAGCGAACAGCTCTAATCTTCCAATCCATTACCTCGGCGTCCCTCGAGCTGTTCAGTAAGAGCCATAACGCAGCGCAACAAGCGTGGGCCACGTAGGCCTATAGGCCGTACCAAGGGGATCGTGCAATTTGATTATAGCCGCGATATCCCGCCGCTCGCTGCAAGTTTTTGCTGGTAAGCACAAAGTGACATCGCAGTAATGAGCAACGCACGCGTCACACTCTGACACGCCACATGATCGCAATGAATCCTTGTCGTATGATCTGCTTCTGAGCCACTCACTTCGACCGTATATAACACAAACAATAAACAGATTGTGACCGCTACGTCGAGCTTAAGATAGTGGAATATGCTTATGGCTTATACGCATTCCGGTGCTGTGCCCTGAATATGGGACGATACGAGCCCCGCTCGGTGCAATCCAAAAGTCTCGATTTACTTAAACATAATAAGGAAAAAAAGTGTGCTGCATCTTTGGTAAAAATAACCAGACAAATCCAGACAAATTGATAAGAATAAAGACGGAACAAATCTCATAGCTGTAAACAAGCTCGGCTAAGTCAGATAAACTGAAAACAGGCAGGAAAAGGCAATTGCGGCGAACTCAGCTCAGAGGGCAAGTCCAGACCCTGGCAGTCTGGAATGTTTGGCTCCCCCTTAGAATAGCTTTTAGGCGAATGAAAACCGCCAATTGCGCTGTGGTCGGAAATGAGCAGGATTGGCGACACCGATGGGCCAAGGGATGCGCGGGCGCCTGCGAGATATCGAGGGAACCGCGCGTATTTCAAACACTTACTACATGAGTGCCTTGACGCAACAAAGGATTCTCACTACATCAAGTACGTGCATTCAAACTTAACTCAATTAAATAGCTCTCATTTGTGAAATATCTGTACAAAGTAGCAATGGCACAATGCCATCTGTCTACGCTTACCTCATATAGAAGGCAAATAATAAAAGGCTATGTAATGAAGCAAAAAAATTTTCGGAGATTAAACACAAAAGCTCCAGTGAAACTCATATTTTATAACTAAGTTTTTCTCATAATCGGTTGGCTGTAGATATATTTTACTGTTTAAAAAATGAATCGCTAAACTCGATGAAAATGTCTCAACTATAAGAATTAGGCTTGTCGCTTAAAAAGTGGTAGCACTTTCCGCGTCAAAGATGGGATAAACATCAAGAAAAGGAAGGGAAGATGATCAATGGCCGGCCCGTATAGCAGTTTCCGCATCATTAGCTCATGCTTTGCTCTTCGCCGCTGCGTACGGCTTCCAATCTGCGAATTTTTCAGCGCGCAGAGCACGTGCTTGTGATCACTATGACCAAGCTACACGTCCTCTGCAATGGATAGTATTCTCAAAGACAGCAAATAGTCTGCTCACGACACTATTCCAGAGCTCGAGAAGAATTTATCATGGAATTTTGTAATTAAATGTTAAATCTATAGATAATTTTCAACGTTTCATTAATTAAATTATCATGAGGATCGTACAATCAAAATGTTATAAGTAAAGAATTAAGTTTATAAGTTCTATACCAGTTATTTAAATCGTAATCTTATCGATGAAATTTGCATTGCATACAATAAACAACTATAGATGAATAAAAAAATGACATTTTCCTCACCAAAGTAGGGCTATTATCGTCCAGGACGTTTATCTGTATGTCCAGATTTCCGAGGAAGTTTTTTTTTGCGCACAGCGAGAACGAGGGGAGCGAGCGAGAGCGAGAACGGGTAATTCTCCGTGACCTGACGGCATGCGAGTTCGCTCGCTTTGACGCATTAGCGCCAGTCCAATAGTATTGACGAGCCCAAGCAAAGGATCAAATACGTCCGCTCTAACATTACCTGATAGTTTCGATGAGGCTGGGAGAGAATTATGTCACGTGCTCCATAAATAATCAAAATTCCATCGTTTTAAAATCAATCTGACATTAGAATAAGTTGAATAAGGAACATTATTTCTAATGCAAGGTTTCCAGTCGAAAACCCATTATTTAAAGCATATTTCGACGTATTTGAAAGGATTTGGAACTGCCTGATACACATTTCATGCTCAGAGAGTAAGAAAGATTGCTGGATAGCTGGGTTTAGAATATTTTGGCTCACAATGTTTTGTAATCATTGCGTTGAACCCGCTATTATACGCCACACAGACACAAAGGGTATTACACACACAAAACGAACACGACGTGCACGTACACAGACACGAAGCGAATAGACATAAAACACGAATTTAAAACTGGCAATTTCTTTAGTCCTGAAGTCGATATGATGAACAGTTGTCAGGCGGGAGTCTACAAGATATAACCAACAATGTCTTGGTTGACATGGCAAAAGTCACGCGTGACTCCATCATTACAGAGCGATCAAGGCCAATCAATGGACAAACTGTTTGATAATGAGGGAGTTATGAAATTATTGCATCACCAAGGCAATTTAGGCGTCATGTGTTCAGTGATAGGCGAGTCGTGACGCACATTAACTTAGCAAGCTAAAGAAACCATTTTTTAATAACGCCACGCGAAGTATATCAAGAGCGCTCGTGCGAAAAGACGTGAACGTGCGAAAAGACTAGAATTTGCTTTTTTTTAATTACTCAACTACCAAACAATCCGCTATAAAAGAAAACTACAACAACAAGTTCAACACAAAAAACGCCCTAGTGACCAAGACCGTCGTACAAAAACGCTTAGAATCAAATTTTCGTAATGGACAGAATGCTGAATTCAAATTGTCATTAATAAAATAATAAACATTCAAACTACTTTGCATTTGATCAATAAAAACTCTGATACTATCAACGTCAAGGAACCTAGTTATAAAATGGATTAATAAGCGTAAAAATGAACGACAATATTGCCGCAGGAAGTCGCTAATTACGGAACAACTGGCCAAGTTGACATGACAGAGCAGCGCCACAAAACCAACATGCACGTGTGAATGCGCATAATCTCCACTGATCACGCAGTGGCTTTCTTTCTCCAGTACATGGCCGACAACTGGTGGTCGCGTTAGAGGAGGGTGTGTATAGGGTGATTTTCCGTAAAGTCTTGAGTCCAATAATAACAGCAATAGAAGGCAAGTTAAGGCAAAAAAGCATGAAAGCGCCCCTTCTAATTACATGAGCCTGTCACTCACGCCGCTGCGTCGGCAGCTGCGGCGGCAATCACCAGCACGGGTTCTCCAGCCGCTTTGGCTCATGACAAACCTTTATTTTCGTTCTTTCAAACTGCGAAATGAATATTAATTTCGATTCCAGTCGGGTTTCCTACATTTCTTTTATAATGGTACATTATTTAGTAAATTCCGCGAATCGTAGCTCACTCGGAGATCGTCATTTACGAATAGAATTGGGATTGCGCCACAACGGAAATAAATGCTATCTAACAGAAAAGTTAGTTATACATCAGTTAACATTCATTGCCGAAGATAAACCCATGAGAGTTGTTTGTCGTACACTAATACGGTTGCATTGCACACCCGGCAATGAAATACTGTCTAAAAAACGAGTGATAGAACATCACAAGGTACGGCTTGATAAAGGTGCAAAATTACACAAAAAAATTACAATGGAATATGCTGAACGTAACTGTTCCAGGTAGCTATTACTAGTAGGTCGAATTCTACCCAGTAAATGCGAGATATTAGTTTTGATTGCTCTCATGTGGATTTTCGTAAAAGAATCTTAAGGTTGACCTAGGTAGGATGCATAAACTTTTAAATAGAATATGTAATGATCTATTTATAAATCGTTTGAATTTTTTCGAATGAAAAAATCAAGTTGATAATACTGGACTAGTGCACAATGATTTATAAAATTCAAGCGGCTAACAAAGTGAAGTGAGAATGAAATGCGCATACCAATTAGGGGTGTTTCCCCCCAAAAAAACAAAACATAACAGCTGAGGTACTCACCAGTTATTCACTTGCAGAATGGTTAATCCCGTGTCTTGGGCCAACTGTTTCTTCTGATCCTCGGACGGGTATGGATGCTGGAAGATAAAAAATTTATTAGTTGGTGCATAATATGAAAAAAATGATAGTTAAGATCATGAATGCGTCAAAATGTACGTTCAGCACATATTATTACAACACCTTTGCTCTCTCTTACGTATCATTGTAAATAAACCACATCATGATGATAAAGAAGTAAGTCGTTATAGGTCCTTCTAAAAAAAGACTTGCAAGGATATGCGTGATTAAAATTACATTTCTACTGATAGTTGTACGTCGAAGACGACTTTCTCTTTATAACAAAAATAAAAGAGTTGCCAACGTAAAAAAATATCCTTATTTCGGAAGAGTTTAGTTTGGCCCCATCAACTTGGCCTCATGCAGCTCCAATCGTGGCTGGTTAAATCCATCATAAACGCTATCAGTAATTAGCTAGCAAAAACCGCAAAAAAGAGAGCGATTAGAGAAGATCAATAAGGAAATGTGGCTATTGAAAAGTCTTGCGTGATGACCGGCGCACGATGCAATCAAACCTCAGCTCTTGCTGTCCCTGCGTGATGCATAAACCCAACGCAGCGCATTAAACATGGGGTATATTCTCAAAACTTATACCAGCCTGTCACTTAAAAACAAGCGATGTAAGCAACACCTGTCAGTTGCTTATTTTCATGTGAAGGAGTTAAAACTGTATTGGGGTCATACAGCGTCAATCGTCGTTTAATGTTCCACGTGTTGTGTGTAAGAAAAGCTTGCGTGAGTTTTATTCGTTTCAATAACACAGCGGATAACACAGTTTTCAATAACACAGTTTTAACAGCGTTTCAATAACAGTTCACTCGATGGTGAACAAAATCTCTGAAGACACGAACATGAACTAGGATTAATAAGAAAACAGGACATCGTGGAGACCAAGATTCATCAAGGTATGACAGTTAATTGAGTTACAGCTGAACGTAGATTTCTAGGCGAGAAATGAAAGAAGCGAGAGCAGGGTGAAGCGGATCACGCAATTTGGGCTTTAGAGGGC